TCGCACGGCGGAAACCTTACTACCCCCTTACTACGTCCTTTCGCATTATTTCTCGCGGACCCGTTCAATCGCGTGAACCAAACGACGTGAGCATTATGCGCGCAGCCAGAGGGCGCGTACGCATGAACCACCATAAAAACGGAATCCCTGTGAACGATGAAATCGTGAACGAACCTCGGATGTTCGCGCGTTCACCGAGGCTTTGACACATTGGCCCGCCTCACCCTTAGTAGACGCGTCGAAGTCGATCGTAGAAAGAGCTCGCGTTTTATCACCCCCGATACCACCCCTCTCTCCCTCTCTCCCCCTATTCTTCAACCCCGTCATTTATTCGCGCCCTCGCGCGTACTTCGAGACGCATATACACCGTCGGAACGAACACCGTAGAACGTCTCTCTAGGTCTCTCACGTTCACCACCTGTCCCGAGGATACGAGTTCTCCTCCTCTGTCGCTTCCTCTCTCTCCCACCCATCTGAGCCCCTACCGTAGACAACAAGTAGCGAGATCGTAATTAATATCGTAAACAAGTGCGACGCGACACTCTCCTGTTGCGAAGGGGTACGATTTTGTTTGTTGCGCCCGAGAACTGCATTCGAATTAGCCGAATTAGCCGCATAACTTTTTGCTGGCAACGCTCCCCCATTTCCGCTGGGTTACCCGCGATCTTTTATCCCCCCAACTTCGAGTCGCCGAACACCGATCCTCCGGCGGAAAAGCAGTCTTCAGGTGACGAGAAGTCGATTCGAATCCGTAAGTTCACATCTTCTTCTTCTTCTTCTTCTTCTTCTTCTTCTTCTTCTCTCTTCGACGAACATTCGTTTCTTACGATCGAATATCACGCGCGCGGTTATTATTTTTAATTACAAGCCAAGAAGAATCAGTTGAAGAACCAGTTGAAGTACTTCACGAACTTTATCCTTTTTTGCTTTTATCCTTCACCCTAATTTTGCATCGCACCCCCGATAGAAATTGCATGCTTTTACAAATTGTGCAAAAATTTCCCTAATTAAGAGAACACGCATGCGAATTCCATGCAAGCGGATGTTTGCTTGAATTTCGTGGAATTTTTCGGGGTTGAAGGGTTGAACGTTGGCGAGGGAAGTTTTTCGAGGGAAGAAGGGGTAATCACAAGGATTCGTCGCGGGACGAATTTCTTTCTTTTCTCGAAACCTGGTCTGATCGCGTAGGTGTTGTTGTTGCGAGCCGTTTCAAGGCTTTGTTATTCGGGGCCGCGCGAGGTCACGGAACGACTTCATCGCGAAAGACGTTGACGTCACAACGCCGCTCGTAAACTCTCGCGACGCACACTTTTTCTTTCTCTCTCTCTCTTTCTCTATTCGGGCATTTTCGAAAAGTAAGGGATCGCCTAAAGCGCGGCCTGCATTGCGACACTTTGAACGATAGGTTTTTCCCACGAGCATCGTGATCCGGGGGAGGAAAAGTTTGCCGGTAATGCGTTTTATCGGCTCGATGTCGATGCCGTCGAAACTCGCCGCTGGGGAACTCGAGAAGATTGGCATAAAGAAAATTCAATTCCCAACTTTTCCCAACTTTCTTCCCTCTCCTTGTGTGTATATATATATTCGAAAGATAAACGTACGGGAGGATATAGGATAACTCGAGTTATGGTAATTCGAAAAAGGGGAATAAAAATATATGGTAAATGATCTGTACGAAAATGCGCATAGAAACGCGAAGTCGTTACGAGAATAGATGATATTCTTTGGAAAAAAGAAACTGTGGCATTTCAAAAACATTTATTTCAAGTTTGAAAACGTTTTAAAATCATTACTCATCCCAAGGTAGAATCGATATAATCCGCCAGTACCTCGGCCATTTTCCTCATTGTCCACGTGTCGTAATTTATCACGGACCATTTTCCGTGTCCGCATTGTTCGAAAATAATGAAGCGAAACGAAATTTTCGGGGAGGGATGTCCGTGGGCATAAATCAATCCGTTGCAATCGAATAGGAAATTTTTCGCGCTCGTTACGAGAGCGAAACCGAGAGGCTCGTAATAAAAGGAGAAAGGGAAGATAATCGATTGGCAGATCGATCGATTGGGAAATCGAGCGGGTTTGGCAACACGCACGCAGAGAGAGACAAACATATAGGATGTCGATGTACACGGGTGAATAGGATTAATTGATCGCGCTTAAAATTGATTTTCCCGGTGTCGTTGTTGCGTACAGTAAGTTGCACCAACTAAACGTCGGCCGATGGGAAAAGTATCGATCCGTACGTGTCTGACCTTAACCTTTCTTAACGCGGAAAAATTTCCCCTCGAGAACAATTTGAAAAAGACCGAGTGACACGCTTCACTGGTTGCATTAAATATTAATTGCCATTCTACGAACCAAATGCGTAATTTCGAACAAAGAATCGAAAATTCGAGAAAGAAATCGTATACCTATTTTAAACGCCCTTTAATAAAGGGGGAAGGAGATGACTTTTATACGAGTATAAAATGATTTTGAAATGGCGCGAGTATAAATGGCGATCGTTGAAACAAATTGAAAGGAAAAATTTTAATTTCTTTGATTAAACGGGATTACAACGGTATTATAACGGTATTATAAATTATAAATTATAATCCCTTTGTATTTGATGAATTTTTATGGATATATTTTATAAAAAAAAAAGAAAAAAAAATATCCGTACGAGCATTATTGCTTTCGAGAATGTAAATGTTATCCAAAAACTGTGCAATAAATTACACGAATTTAACGGTGTTATCCGTCTACGTGCGACGCAAATTCCGGATAGCAATTACGTTTTACCGCGCCACGAACAAATTAATCATTCCACGAGCGTATCCTCTACTCGTCGTATTTTTCTACATTTCTATTGATCAAAAAACAAACAAAAAAAAAAAAAAAAAAAAAAAA